TGGATTCTCTGTCACCCAGACTGGAGTGCAGTGGCCGCTCCCGGCCACCACAGCCTCGACCTGCTGGGCTCCGGCGATCCTTCTGCCTCAGCCTTCCACGTAGCTGGAACTACAGGTGCGCACTACCATGCCCGGCTAATTTTTTGATTTATTGTAGAGATGAGGTCTTGCCTGCTCAGGTGGGTCTCGAACCCGCGGGCTCAGGCAATTCACTCACCTCAGTCTCCCAAACGCACGGGATTACAGGCTGAGCCACCGAGCCCGGTTAGCTTTTTTTAAAAATTTCAGTTTTCTTATGGATAACTGATGGGCAATAAACTGAATATATTTAAAGTCTACACTTTGATGAACTTTTACATGAATAGATAATTGTAGAAACACCTTCATAATAAAGATAATGAACATTTCCATCACCCTCCAAGTTTCCTTGTAATCCATTTCTTTTGTAATCTATCTCTTCTTCAATCCCTAAACCCAGACCACCACTGATCTTTCTGTTATTAGCAATTAGTTGGCATTTTCTAGAATTTTACATACATGGAATCATATAGTATGCATCCTTTTTTCATCTAGCTTCTTCCACTAAGTACAAAGATCTTGATATTCATTCATGTTGTTGCATGTGTTAATAGTTCATTTCTTTTTATTGTTGAGTAGTATTCCATTGTATGGATATTCCATATTGTGTTTATTCATTTATGGGTTAATAAGGTGAGAGGAGACGAAGTTTGAAGGGTAATGTGATAAGATAGTTAAATCACCAGGTGCAGTGGCTCATGCCTGTAATCCCAGCACTTTGGGAGCCCCAGGCAAAAGGATTACCTCAGCCCAAAGTTCCAGACCAGCTTGGGCAATATGGTGAGACCTCATCTCTACAATACTTAAAAAAAAAATAGCCGGGTGTGGTGGCGTGTGCCTATAGTTCCAGCTACTTGGAAGGCTGAGGCAGAAGGATCATCTGAGCCCAGCAGGTCAAGACTGCAGTGGCCGTGAGCGTGCCACTGCACTCCAGCCTGGGTGA